AACGATTGCAAAAAAATAAACCAAAGTTTCTTTTTGATGATGATGATGATGAGATAGTTAGTATGACTAAACCTCAAAATTCAGAAATGAAACATCGAAAATCCACAGATAGTCTGTCCGAATTTCTTGAGAATGAAAGAAAAATAAATAGAGCAGAAATGAAAAGAGAACACCGAATAAAGACTAAAGAGTGGTTGCAAAAATACAAAGCACAAAAATTTCGTTGGTTTGCGACTGGTTCTGATGAAGATATGCGTATTCTGGAACAATTGATAGAAAATAAACCAACTCTTCATCTTGATGATGATGATGATGATGAAGTAATTAGTATGACTAAATCTCTACGTCCAGAAATGAAACGACCAAATTCTTCGCAGATCAAAGAAACATCCAGCTTTTCATCACAAGATGAACAATCGACATCAAACAAGTTGGACAAAAAAATATCAACAAACCAAGAATCAACAAATATTCCAACCACCACCACCAACGAAATATCTGAACCAGAACGCAAAATACCATTATATTCGGAAATAGCAGAAAAAATATATGAAAATGGTATCAGATATGAATATTATGATCTAAAAGATAAAAAAGGAGAAATTTATCAATATTGGGAAACAAGATTAGATAAAATTGATTATTTATTGGAACATGATGCTGATCGAGCCGAAGCTAAAAAAATGGGAATTGAATACGGTCATTGTTTAGCATGCGAATATGAAAGATCGGAAATACAACAGTTTGAAGAATTAAAAGAGATGGATAAAAAAATAAAAAACGCAAAAGATTTTATGGAAAATGATTTAAAGTCAAAACAGAAAATAATTAATAAACAAATTGATCAGTTTGGAAAAGATGAAAATAAAAGAAAAAATACCGAAAATGAAATTAAAAAAGAAATATTTGATAAGTATAAAGAACAAATCGAAGAAATAAAATCAACAAAAGCTCCAGAAGATGAACAGAAAGCAAAATCTGGAATAGAAAAAAAGATAAGAAAAATATTTAAGTTTGGAAACGAAAATGATGTAGATTTAGAACCATTAGAATATCGTATTGAACCAATATTAACTGATGAAGAAAAATTAATTGTAAGTCAAGCGATTGAACGAAGTTCTGAAAAAAAACAATACAGATCTTCGATTCTTAAAGAGATGCTAGAATTCGAAAGATTAGTTAAAATAGATAAAGGTAAAACACAAGAGGCAATATTATTTAGAGACGAACATTTTAAACCATTATATCAGGAAATAGTGGATGGAAATTTTGAAAACGATATTTATAAATTTGGACTACTCCTGGATGGGACGGATAGATATTATATAGAGAAAAGTATTATTGATTCGAAATCAGAACATAAATATTATCGAGCACAAATAATGAATCAAATTAATTACTTCGCAGCAAATATTGATCTTAGTGAAAGCGATCGTGAAACTTTAACAGATTTTTTTGATATTTTTAGAAAAAGAGTTAGAGGAACTGATGAATCAATTATGCCTGAATATCCAATATCCAACTTTAGGCGTAATGTAGTACCTGGTCCAAATCCTGTTTTAAGTGCAGAACAAGAAGATTTTCTTTACTATGAATCTATGATTAAACCAAAAATATACAATAAACCAGTCGATTATTATGTTTGGTATTTTAAAGAGCTTTATGGAATTAAAGGAGAAAATTTTTATGATCCTTCACATGTTCGTTTCTATACATTAGATAAAGAAAAGACAAATTCGTTTTTAATGAGTTTATTGATTGAATCATTCAATAATTCTCAATTTAGAAAGGCAATGAAATATCCATTAGTTCCCGTTACGCTCAATATGTTAGATGAAACCCCCGTTACATACGAAGAAAAATATTCAAGATATAGTGGTCTACCAAGATCATCATCATCATCAACTGCATCACAACCATCCGAAACGGATTCGTTTACAAAACGAGTGCAAAGATCAGTGAATCTTGCATTATTACAAACAATCACTGAAATGCAAGAAAATCCATTTACTGATTATAGTCAAAAATTATAAATGAAAAATTATTTTTATTTTATTTTATTGATATTTAAAAAAAAAAATAAATAAAATTGATAAAACATTCATTGTGTGTGTGTGTGCGTTTTACAATATTTAATTACCGTATAGATAAAATAAAACATTAATTTTATTGTTTGCTTGCTTGTTTTTTTTTTAATTTTGTTTGTAAATTGTTTTGAAAAATATTCGAATTCATTCCAAAGTGAAAATTAATTACGTAATTAAACAATAGAATAACAATAGTGTAAAATAAAAAAACATTTAAATCAAGCAAAGCATTGATGTTTTTAGTTTGTATTACGAATTTTGGTGATCGAATGATTATTATTTTTTTTTTTTAAACAATGAATATTATTTTCAGTTTCATTTTATTATTATCTTTAATACGAATGATTGTTGCCAAGAATGTTGTTCAAGATGAAAATCCACATAAACGAATTATGATACCATATAAATCAGTATATGGTGTACCAAGAAGATGTACGGGAAGGTCTAATCATAAAACGACCGAAGAAAATTATCGAATTTGTCAAATAAATGCGATTAAAAAATGGAAAATAACATTTGAACATTATGTAAGCTGATTCAATAATTAATTTTTCAAATAAAATCATAATATGTTTTTTTTGTCTCAAACACAGTACACTGAAAGTTGGAATTTCTGCTGTTTCGTGTATGATGTTTTGGAATGCGAAACAAAAGTGTTGTATGAATGTGACGCAGACTATTCGGATCGAAATGACAAAGAAACAAGACGATTGTTTGATAAATCATGTCAACCAATCATGGCAAACAATCCTTGTAGCAAGAGTAAGGATGGAGGTGATGACTGGATATGGAAAGGATTAGCAATTGGTGCAGGAGTCGGACTATTCTTGTATTTGTTATACTCATGTATTCAATTTTGGAGAAAGGAGTATAACACAGAATTCATTGCAAAAGAAGCTTACAAAGCAGAGAAATTTCGACAAAAATATGAAAAGGAATACATTCGTGCGGTTTATGACCATGAAGTTGAATTTCAAGATAAACAATATTTCACAAATGCTCCTAAACAAACAAGTGAGAATGGAGAAGCACAACCAATCAAAAAACAAGAAACTGCAAAAATGTCGAAAAAAGATTTGAAAAAAATCAATAAGAAAATCAATTCACAAATCGAGGCAGATTCGAAAAATGATCCGAGTTTCTGGGATGATTTCAATAAAGATCCAGACAAATATAAACAACCAACCGGGTTTAAGACGAAAGCTAAAAAATATTTCAAAAGGTTATGGCCTTTTTCCAATGGGAATAGTGAAGAACAACTGAAAAGAGAAGAACTGATCCGATCGGAAGCTCGTCGACAGTATGAAAATATCCGAAAAAATCGATTAGAATTGGACAAAATATCAACAGGGAATGAAAGTTCGATTGAAGAAATAAACGAAGATCCTCTTATGGCAAAAATGCTCAGGACTTTGAATCAAGAACAGGCCGATATTTATCGTGAAACCATAAAAACTACAAACATTCCTGAATCCGGAAAGAAGGATCAGCTTAAAGAATGGACGAAAAACTTCAAAGACAACAGGAATAAGTTTCGAAATGAATTTGACAAAAAGTTCGAAATGACATTTGGTGAAGAATCTGATAACAAATTAATAAAAAAAGGGAATTTGTTGAAAAGCTCAACTCATGGATCGAAAAAAACCGAAGATGAATCAACGAAAATCCTAAGAAGTGATTCAGACAAAGATAATAGGACACAAACACCGGTCAGCATGATAAGAAGGACAGAATCAACATCGAAACCAAAAGGAAGTCAAACCAAAGAAAGTTTGAAAAAAGTTGGATCTCAATTCAAGAAGCAACAATCTACCTCTAGCGTTTTAAGCGAGCAAGCATCATTATCAAAACCAGTAGAAAATCAAACGACCGAAATTCTATCAAGTGATTCGTCCCAAGTTGAAAAACCATCAAATCTCAATCTAATAGACGAGCAAAAATCGACATCGAAACCAGCAAATGATCAAGTGACAATAATTCAAGCAAATGATTTGCCAGAAGTCAAAAAACCAGAATCAACAATCATCAATGTAAACGAACAACAATCGACATCGAAACCAGCAGATGATCAAGTCATCAAAATTCTATCCAGTGATGAAACATCAGATTCCAGTATAGTAAGTAAAAATTCAATGAAAGAAATCAACAATAAAGATGAAGAGAAGATGAATAAAATCAATCAGTTAATGATTGATTTGAATGATAAAAATGATGAAATAGTAGAACTTTCATCATCATCATCATCAGTACCGAAAGAAATGTCATGGATAGAAAAAATAGCAACACATCAAAGATTATGGAATGTTTCATTCGATAAAAAAACATCATCCAATGAAACTGAAAATGAAACAAACAAATATTCGGAAATAGCAAAAAAAACATATTCAGATGGTTTTGAATATAAATATTATGAACTTGAAAATGAAAAAGATAAATTTTTGAATACATGGAAAATAATAAAAGATGATTATAAAAATAAATTAGAAAGATTAAAATTATTATCACAAACAATATATGATAAAAAAATTGAATATGAAATTATGAAAAATGAATATGAAACATTACGAAAACAATATAAACAAGAGAAAAAATTATTAAATAAAAAAATTGATAAAGAAAAAAATAAAATGATAAATGATATGCAAGGAAAACAGAAAAGAATTTCCAAACAAACAGTACGATTCGGTATGAATAATAAACAAACAGAAAATGATATTCGAAATGAATTGGAAAATGAATATTATGAACAAAGAAAACAATTGGAAAAAAAATTAACAAACAATTCAACAACAACAACAAGTATAGAACAGGAAAAAAATTCAGATTTTAAAATGAACAACAAGAAAAAACTATGGAAAAAAATTTTCAAAACAAAAGATAAAAAAACACAGGAATCATCCATAGTGTTTGAACCATTAGAATATCGTATTGAACCAATATTGACGGATGAAGAAAAACATATTGTAAGTCAAGCAATCGAACAAAGTACTGAAAAAAAAGAATACAGATCATCGATTCTAAAAGAAATGTTGGAATTTGAAAAATTAGCTAAATTAGATAAAGGCAAAACGAAAGAGGCAATATTATTTAGAGATGATTATTTTAAACCATTATATCAGGAAATAGTGGATGAAAATCATCATTCAAAATCCACTTCAAATGAAATTAAACCATTACTGACTGATGATGAAAGAAAATATTTTCATCTAATGATTAATTCATCGAATTCAAAACATAAATTTTTTCGATATTATATAATAAGTGAATTCACTGAAATTGAACGTTTAAAACAACCACTTAGTGAAAGTGATCGTAATACATTAAATGAATTTAAAGAAATATTTAAAAAAAGATTATCTATCGATCCAAATAAGCCTGAATATCCTATATCAAAATTTAGACGTAAATTAGTTGATGGTCCAAATCCAGTTATAAGTGCAGAACAAGAAGATTTTCTTTACTATGAATCGATGATTAAACCAAAAATATACAATAAACCAGTCGATTATAATGTTTGGTTTTTCAAAGAACTTTTTACAACTAAAGGAAAATATTTTTATGATCCTACACATAGTCGTTTTTCAACAATAGATAGAAAAACAATCGATTTGTTTTTAGCAAGATTATTAGCCGAATCAACGAAAAAAACTGAATATGGAAAATCAAATTCATTTCCATTTACAACTTTCTTGTTGGATATTGTCGAAAATAGGGATGTTCTAACCTATCAACCAAAATCAAATTATGGTGGTGGTGGTCATTCAAAATCATCAACAACAATTTCATCACAATCATCCAATACAGATTCATTGTCAAAACGAATGCAAAGATCAATGAATCAAGCATTTTTACAAACAACAACAACACAAATGCCTGAACATCCATTTACTGATTTTAGTTAGTCAAAAATTTTAATTTCTTAATTTTTTTTTTTTTGAAAACTAATTAATAAATTCTAAAAAATATATGTAATTAACTTTTGATACAAATTATTTCGATTTAGAGAACAAAAAAAAAATGTTCGAATTGTTATCGAATTGTTATTGTTTGAAACATAATATAAAAGTAAATCAGAATCAAAATGTTTGAGTGTTTTACAATTTTTTGTGATCGATAATATTACAATGTTTATTATGATTTTTCGTTCACAAATTGTTTGTAACTTTTTGTCATCATTAACATCAATGATTGTTGCAAAGAATGTTCAAGATAACAAGTCACTTGATAGAAATATGATAGCATATAAAACAGTATATGATGTCTTAAAATGCGAAACCAAAGTGTTGTATGAATGTGACGCAGACTATTCCGATCGCAATGACAAAGAAACAAGAAGATTGTTTGATAAATCATGTCAACCAATCATGGCAAACAATCCTTGTAGCAAGAGTGAGGATGGAGGTGATGACTGGATATGGAAAGGATTAGNTGCAGGAGTCGGACTATTCTTGTATTTGTTATACGAATGCATTAACTTTTGGAGAAAGGAGTATAACACAGAATTCATTGCGAAAGAAGCTTACAAAGCAGAGAAATTTCGACAAAAATATGAAAAGGAATACATTCGTGCGGTTTATGACCATGAAGTTGATATTCAAGATAAACAATATTTCACGAATGCTCCTAAACAAACAAGTGAGAATGGAGAAGCACAACCAATCAAAAAGCAAGAAAATGTGAAAATACCGAAAAAAGATTTGAAAAAAAATCAAAAAGAAAATCAATTCACAAATATCAATAAAACAAATAATTTTATCAACACCAAATTCCTGGATTACATCAATTTCTGGATTACATCAAATAATAATTTTAATAATAAATAAAAAAATTTTCATTTTAATAACTCAATTTACCTAAAAATAAAAATAAAATTTCCACTTCAATTTTCATTGTTTCACTTTTGGTCAAATTTTATTTTTGCTCCAAATTCCAGAAAAAAAAACAGCAACAACAATTTCTGATCAATAAATTCGAAAAAAAGAACAAAAAAATATTCAATATCGAAATATCGAAATATTGAATCGATTTGAAAAGTTCGTAATTCAATTCAAATAACAATAATGGAATGAATGACATAAAAACCCAAATCAGTAAGTAATTTTGTGTGTGTGTTTTTCTTTGGTGCGTTTATGAAGATAACCAAAATATGAAAACGATTTTTCGCTTTTCATTATCTTCATCACCAAATGTTGCCTTGAATGTGATTGGGAAATGGCTGTTGGAGTTACAACATTATGTAAGTTGAATTCAATCAATCCTCAAGTCGAATCCTAATTTCTTTTTTTTTCCTTTACTCAAACAGTACACCGACAGTTGGAATTTCTGCTGTTTCGTATATGATGTTGTTTTTAGAATGCGAAACAAAAGTTTTGTCAAGAAAAAAAAACGAATGCGGCCATTTCCCAATCGCAATGACAAAGAGACAACATTTTTAAAAAAACCAAACAATTAATCAAACAATTTTATCAACATGTTTGTAATTTCTTTGGTTACACACCAAATACAATTTTAATTTAATAATAAAAAAACTTTATTCAATAACTTAATTTATAAACAAAAAAAATAAACAAAAACAAAAATAAAAAACATTTCAACGTTAATTTCAAAGTTTTCTTTTGTTATGAATTATGAAATTATGTAAAATATGGTTCGAGAAACTTGTTATTTTTTGTTGTTGCGATAAGTTCGAGAAAAATCGATTTGAAAACAATATGATTGATTTTCGATGAAAAACAAAATCGATTGTTCGAATTTCAATTGAAATTCGTAATTCGTAATTCGTAAACCGATAACAATAGTGAAAATAATACATAAAAATCCCAAAACAAAAAATTATTAATTGTAATTGAAAATTTTTTTTTTGTTTGATTTGAAAAAAATGAATGTTTTTATGTATTTGCAAAGTTGTTTTTTATTTTTCTATTTGATTCGAATGATTGTTGCTACGAATGTTCAAGATGAAAATACACATGAACGAATGATGATACCATATAAATCAGTATATGGTGTACCAAGTAAATGTAAAGGAACGTCCAATCATCAAACGACCGAAGAAAAATATCAAATCTGTCAAATAAATGCGATTAATAAATGGAAAATAACATTAAAACATTATGTAAGCTGATTCAATAATTATTGTTCAAATCAAATCATAATATGTTTTTTTTTCTCAACACACACAGTACACTGAAAGTTGGAATTTTTGTTGTTTCGTATATGATGTTTTGGAATGCGAAACAAAAGTTTTGTCTGAATGTGACGAAGACTATTCCGATATCAATGACAAAGAAACAAGGCGATTGTTTGATAAATCATGTCAACCAATCATGGCAAACAATCCTTGTAGCAAGAGTGAGGGTGGAGGTAAAGATTGGATATGGAAAGGATTAGGAATTGCTGCAGGAGTCGGACTATTCTTGTATTTGTTATACGAATGCATTAACTTTTGGAGAAAGGAGTATAACACAGAATTCATTGCGAAAGAAGCTTACAAAGCAGAGAAATTTCGGCAAAGATATGAAAAGGAATACATTCGTGCGGTTTATGACCATGAAGTTGATATTCAAGATAAACAATATTTCACAAATGCTCCTAAACAAACAAGNAAATGACGAAGACTATTCCGATATCAATGACAAAGAAACAAGGCGATTGTTTGATAAATCATGTCAACCAATCATGGCAAACAATCCTTGTAGCAAGAGTGAGGGTGGAGGTAAAGATTGGATATGGAAAGGATTAGGAATTGCTGCAGGAGCCGGACTATTGTTGTATTTGATATACGTATGTGTTCAATTTTGGAGAAAGGAATATAACACAGAATTGAAAGCACTGGAAGCTTACAAGGCAGAGAAATTTCAAAAATACTATGAAAAGGAATTCGTTCGTGCTGTTTATGACAATGAAGTTGAAAATCTCAATAAACAACGGTTCACAAACGCTTTCGCACAAACAAATGAGGATGGAGAAACACAACCGATCCAAAAACTAAATAATGAAAAAATATCGAAAAATGATTTGAAAAAAATTGAAAAAAAAGTCAAATCACATATCGATGCAGAGTCGAAAAATAATCCGAATTTCCTTGAGGAGTTCAATAAAGATCGAACAAAATATTATGAACAACCAACTGGTGTAATAGCAAAAAGTAAAAAATTTTTCACGAGGTTATGGCCGAAAAAGAAAGTGAATAATGAAGAACTAATGAAAAAAGAAGAATTGATTCGATCGGAAGCTCGTCGACAGTATGAAAATATTCTTAATCAATCGCAATCAACAGAACCGGGAAAGTTGAAAAGTTTGGTAGTAGCAGAAGATGAAAACACCGATTCACTTGTGGCAAAAGTGCTCAACATTCTAAATCAAGAACAAGTGGCTGTCCATGAAATAATAAAAACTTCTGATTTACCTGAGCCCGGAAAGATTGATGAACTGGAAAAATGGACTAAAGTGTTCAAAGACACCAGGAATAGGATTCGAGATGATGAATTTAACCAAAAGTTTGAAATGACTTTGGAAAGGCCAACAAGTGACGATCAAACTGACAAAATCGTAGAAACTAAAAATAAATTAGTAGATACCAAGTTGAAACAAATATCCGAATCTACTCAAGAAACGGATTCAAATAAACAATTAAAAGCAGCAAACGATCAAACAAACAACCAAAAAGGCAAAATCGAAAAAGCTAAAAAAAAATTAGTAGATTTCAAGTTGAAAAATATATTCGGATCTACTCAAGAAACAGATTCGAATAAGCAAATAAAAGCAGCAGCAAACGACCAAACAAGCAAACAAGCAGGCAAAATTGAAAAAACTAAAAATAAATTAGTAGAAAATACCAAGTTGAAACAAAAATCCGAATCTATTCAAGAAACCGATTCGAATAAACAAATAAAAGCAGCAAACGACCAAACTGACAAAATCGGAGAAACTAAAAATAAATTAGTAGATACCAAGTTGAAACAAATATCCGAATCTAATCAAGAAACAGATTCGAATAAACAATTGAACGATGATTCAATGAATGAAAAAATCTCACAAGCAGCAAACGATCAAGCGGCCAAAATTCCAAAAAGTGATTCTTTCAAAAAAAACAAAATCCAAGATACATCAGCCATTATCAAGGCAGATCCGATAAAATCCAAAATAGATTCAACAAATAAACAAGGAGACAAAATTATGCAATTGCTTACAGGAATGCTTTCAAATGATGGGTTAGATACCAATATGCCACAAACATCCAATTACGTAAAAAAAGTAAAAGCTAATTACAAAACAGACAATGAAGAAATTTACATCGAAAGTACTTTGGAAAATATATCTTCAACAAGTCCATCTGAAGCCAAAAAGAAAAAAAACAAACAGAGTGTTGCATACCAGAAACAACCGAAATCAAAACCAGTAGAAACGAATGAAAGTGAAATAGGAAATTTGAGGAAAAAGAAAGTAAAAAGGATGAAAACAAATGTATCCAATGTTGAAGACAAGAAACAATCGACATCGGAACCAATCGTAAGTCAAACGAATGAAAATCAGACTGCAATTGCGTCAAAAGTCAAAAATGAACAAACAACTACATCCAACTTGATAGATAACATAGCACAATCGACATCGAAACCAGTTGGAAATCAAACAGCTAAAATTCCATCAAATAATACAAACATAGAAGATGATATAAAAATACCAGCTAACATATTAGATAGTCCACAATTAAAAGAACAATTGAAAAAAATTGAAGATATTAATGATATGAAAGAAAAAGAATCGATTTTAACAAGTAAAATTAAACAATTAGAATTTCTTTATGGAGATAAAAATGATATTCAAGAGTTGTTAGAACATTATAATGCCAATTTAGAAGCAAAAAATATGTATAATGAAGAGGATAGAAAAGATACTTTACTTGATATTGAAATGAATAATCGTTATAAAAAAGAAAATGAAGAAAAAATCGCTATTTTAGAAAATTCTATAATAACAGGTGATGCATTTAAAGATGTTAAAAGAAAAATGACTGATCAAGAATATAATGATAAAATATTGGATGAATTGAATAAATATGAAATACATTTGAATGAAAAAGAAAAAACAATAAATAAAGAATTTGAAAATGAAAAAATTCATTCTACGTTAACACCTGCTGAAAGAAAATATTTTTTCATGCAAATAGAAAGAATTAATAAAGAAATTAAAAGAAATAAAGATATGACAAAAAAATTAAAAGAAAAGATGATGGAAAAACAATCTAGAACAAAAAGACAAGCATATGATGGAACAGGAATCAAATTAAGTGAAACGAAGAAAAACGAAACTGAAAAGTATGCATTGAAAAAATCATTAGTAAGTAAAGATCAAGCATCATTGAATGGACAAGATTCAAGTTCATCATCAAATGATTTTTCAGATTCTCATGATGAAACACAACAGACAATGTTGAAACAAAAATCAACAAATCTTTCCAAACAAACAATGGTAGATCAGCCAATCGAGCAAAATATTGAAATATCTCAATCAAACAATATTATAGATTCGTTGATAAAACGTATAAAAAAATCAATCAAACCAACAATTTTATCTGTAGCAAAAGAAATACCTGATCAACAATTTACCGATTATACCAAACAACTTTAATACAAACAAACAAATTATTCATTTTCTTTTATTAACAATATAAATTCAATAATAATAAACAAAATCGTAAAAAAAAAATTCAATTTCATTGTTTTGTTTTGGCGGTAAAATTATTTCAAAAATTATTGAAAAAAAACTTATTTTTTCTGTTTGTTTTGAACAATAAATTCGAAAAAAAGAACAAAAAGTGAACAAAATCGAATCGATTTGAAAACAATATGATTGATTTTCGATGAAAGAAAAAATCGAATGTTCGAATTGAAATTCGTAATTCGTAATCCGATAACAATAGTGAAAATAAAACATAAAAATCAAAAAACAAAAAATTATTAATTGTAATTGTAATTTTTTTTCTGTTTGATTGAATAAAAAAATGAATGTTTTTATGTTTTTGCAAAGTTGTCTTTTATTTTTTTACTTGATTCGAATAATTGTTGCTAAGAATCAACATGATAGAACTTTGGTACCATATAAGCCATTATATGGTGTACCAATTAAATGTACAGGAAATTCTGATCCTCAAACGACCGAAGAAAAATATCAAGCCTGTCAATTGAAGGCGATTGGAAAATGGAAAATAAAACTACAACATTATGTAAGCTGATTCAATGATTATTTCTTAAGTCAAATCATAATATGTTTTTTTTTCTCAACACACACACAGTACACTGAAAGTTGGAATTTTTGCTGTTTCGTATATGATGTTTTGGAATGCGAAACAAAAGTTTTGTCTGAATGTGATGAAGACTATTCCGATCGTAATGACAAAGAAACAAGGCTATTGTTTGATAAATCATGTCAACCAATCATAGCAAACAATCCTTGTGGCAAGAGTGGAGGAGGAGGTAAAGATTGGATATGGAAAGGATTAGGAATTGCTGCAGGAGTCGGACTATTCTTGTATTTGTTATACGAATGTATTCAATTTTGGAGAAAGGAGTATAACACCGAATTGAAAGCACTGGAAGCTTATAAGGAAGAGAAATTTCAAAAATACTATGAAAAAGAATTCGTTCGTGCTGTTTATGACAATGAAGTTGATAATCTCAATAAACAACGGCTCACAAACGTTTCTGTACAAAAAAATGAGAATGGAGAACCGATCGAAAAACAAGATAATGTAAAACTATCGAAAAAAGATTTGAAAAAAATTGAAAAAAAAGTCAGAACACTAATTGAAGCAAAGTCGAAAAATGATCCGACTTTCCTTGATGATTTCATTCAAGATTCAACAAAATATTATGAAAAACCAACCGGTGTTTTAGCAAAAAGTAAAAAATTTTTCACAAGGTTATGGCAGGAAAAGAAAGTGAATAATGAAGAACTAATGAAAAAAGAAGAATTGATTCGATCGCAAGCTCGTCGACAGTTTGAAAATATTCATAATGTTGATCAATCTCAATCAACAAAACCGGGAAAGTTGAAAAGTTTGATAGTAACAGAAGACGAAAACACCGATTCACTTTTGGCAAAAATGCTCAACATTTTAAATCAAGAACAAGTCGCTGTCCATGAAACTATGAGAACTACAGACTTTCCTGAGCCCGGAAAGATTGATGAACTGGAAAAATGGACTAAAGATTTCAAAGACACCAGAAATAGGATTCGAAATGAAATCAACAAAACGTTTGAAATGACTTTGGAAAGACCAACAAGTGAAGATCAAACTGACAAAATCGAAGAAACTAAAAATAAATTAGTAGATACCAAGTTGAAACAAATATCCGAATCAGTTCAAGAAACAGATTCAAATAAACAATTAAAAGCATCAAACGATCAAACAAACAAAATCACAAAAGCAACAACAAACGATCAAGTGGCCAAAATTTCAAAAAGTGATTCTTTTAAAAAAACCAAAACTAAAGATAAATCAGTCAGTATAGTTGGACAAATAAAATCTGAAATGGATCAAAAGGTTGAATTTGAACCAGAAATTTTTAAATATCTTTCAGGAGTGTATAATGAATTATCTACAAACGAATGGCTTGCTGACACAATGCAACAAACATCTGATCAATTAAAATCTACATTAACATCAGCAGGTGAACAAATGAACGTATATCTAAAAAGTTTATCGGGAAAATTATATGAAATGTCACCAAAAGATTGGATCGGAGACATTAAACCATCATCATATAGTATTGTTGAAAAATTAAAAAATAAATTTAAAACCGGTAATAAAGAAATTTCTGATTTTTTTAAAAAAACTACTGATAAGGCTTATGAAATACTTGCAAGTGATGATTCAACTGAAATGGAAAAACAAAAAACTAGATCCTATGTTGGAAATTTAGAACCAATAGAAGAAGAAGAAGAACAACCGAAAAGAATTTCAAAGAATAAAAAAGATAAGAAAAAACCAATTATATCAAGTGATGATAAAAACAATAAACAATCGATAACGGAATCAACAGAAAATCAAACTACTAACAACGAGACTGTAATTTCGTCAAAAATCAAAAATAAACAAACATCCATCTTGTTGGATAATATGATACAATCATCATCATCATCATCGAAACCAATAGATGAAAGTAAATTTGGTAATATTAAATCAATTGATATATTAAATGAGGAAAATAAAGCAGTTAGCACAAAACCAAGCCCTGAATTAACACAAGAGATGATAAAAATTAAAGCTATTCCAAATATAACCGAAGAAGAATTGATTATAATGAAAAAAATAGCTCAATTACAAGAACTACATGGACGAAAAAACCTTATAGATCTTATTAGTCGATTATTTGATAAAAAATTACAATTAATAAATAATTGGATTGAAGATGAAAAAACTAATCCAAAATTAACTGGTGAAGCAAGAATAAATTATTTTCATAATGGTGAAATTAATAGATTAGCTGCGTTAAAAGATGTAGAAAATATGAAACGTGCAAAACAAATAAATTTGGATAAAATAGATAATGCTGAAAAATCTTTAGTATCAGGTTTTGCTTTTAAAGATGAAATTTTTATACAAAAACCAGATAAAATAATAGAAGCAAATAAATTGGATAAAAATTTAAAAATAATGACTGAATCAGAATTTAATAATAATGTATCAAAGGCTTTAGATAAATATGATGGTTATTTGAAGGAAGATTCGATAAAGTCGTTAAATGAACAAAAAGAACGATTGAAACATACTAATCTCAAAAACGTTTTTAAGGTGGAAAAAATTTTGAATTATAAAGTAGAAGTGGGTAAAGAAATAACAAAAAAGTTAAGAGAAATGATGATGGAAAAAAAAGCTAGAACAAAAAGACAAGCATATGATGATGGAAAAGAAACCCAATTAAGTGAAGCTGAGAAAAATGAAACTGAAAAACAGGCATTGAAAAAATTGTTAAAGAAAAAATCATCAAGTAAAAATCAAACATCATTGAACGGACAAGATTCAAGTTCATCATCAAATGATTTTTCAGATTCGGATGAAACTCGACAACTGACAATGTTGAAACAAAAATCAACCAATCTTTTCAAACAAACAATGATAGATCAGCAGCCAATGCAGCAAAATATTGAAATATCTCAATCAACCAATATTATAGATTCGTTGATGAAACGTATAAAAAAAACAATCAATCGAACAATTTTATCCGCAGCAAAAGAAATACCTAAAAATCAACAATTTACCGATTACACCAAACAATTTTAATACAACAAAAAAAAATTATTTAATAAAATTTTCATTTTACAACATTTCATTTCGTCAACTCATGAAATTCAATTGCTCAAAATTCAAAAAAAAAAAATAATTATTTTTTTTACAGTTATAAATTCGAATAATAAAAAAAGTTTGTTTGTTATTGAAATCCGATAACAATAATGCAAATGAAAATATATAAAAATCCAGAATCAGAAAGAAATTTTAATGTGTTTTTGCAATTTTGGTTGATGAAGAGATAATGAAAACTATTTTTTGTTTTCCCTTATTATTGTTATCTTTAATACCAATGATTGTTGTTGCTGATGGAGTTTCAAATCAAAAGTCATATGATGGTATTATGATACCATATAAACCAGTATATGGTGTACCAAATAAATGTAAAGGAATGTCCAATCATCAAACGACCGAAGAAAATTATCGAACTTGTCAAATAAATGCGATTGAAAAATGGAAAATAAAACTACAACATTATGTAAGCTGATTCAATAATTATTCCTCAAGTCAAATCATAATATGTTTTTTTTCTCAACACACACAGTACACTGAAAGTTGGAATTTTTGCTGTTTCGTATATGAAGTTTTGAAATGCGAAACCAAAGTATTGTCTGAATGTGACGCAGACTATTCCGATCGCAATGACAAAGAAACAAGACGATTGTTTGATAAATCATGTCAACCAATCATGGCAAAAAAACCTTGTAGCAAGAGTGAGGATGGAGGTGATAATACGTTATGGATAGCATTAGGAATTGCTGCAGGAGCAATTATAACTCTGATTGTTGGTTGTATTTTCTTTTGGAGAAAGCAGCTTAACCCAGAATCAAATGCAAAAAAAGTTTACAAGGCAGAAAAATATCAAAAAATCTATGAAAAGGAATACGTTCGTGCTGTTTATGACAATGAAGTTGATAATCTCAACAATAAATTCTTACAAAACGCATCGAAACAGACAAATAATAATGAAAAACCACAACCGATTAAAAAAGACAATGATGAAGTACAAATATTGAAAAAAGATATGAAAAAAATTGAAAATGAATTGGAGAAAAAAATCAANGGCAGATTCGAAAAATGATCCGAGTTTCTGGGATGATTTCAATAAAGATTCAGCAAAATATTACGTACAACCAACCGGTGTGAAGGCGAAAGCTAAAAAATATTTCAAAAGGTTATGGCCTTTTTCGAAAGGGAATAGTGAAGAACAACTGAAAAGAGAAGAACTGATCCGATCGGAAGCTCGTCGACAGTATGAAAATATCAGAAAAAATCGATTAGAATTGGACAAAATATCAACAGGGCATGAAAGTTCGATTGAAGAAATAAANAAAATGATCCGAGTTTCTGGGATGATTTCAATAAAGATTCAGCAAAATATTACGTACAACCAACCGGTGTGAAGGCGAAAGCAAAAAAATATTTCAAAAGGTTATGGCCTTTTTCGAAAGGGAATAATGAAGAACAACTGAAAAGAGAAGAACTGATCCGATCGGAAGCTCGTCGACAGTATGAAAATATCAGAAAAAATCGATTAGAATTGGACAAAATATCAACAGGGCATGAAAGTTCGATTGAAGAAATAAACGACGATCCTCTTTTGGCAAAAATGCTCAGGACTTTGAATCAAGAACATGTTGATATTTATCGTGAAACGATAAAAACTACAGACTTTCCGGAATCCGGAACAATGGATCAAATGGAAATATACACGAAAAATTTCAAAGATACCAGGCAAAGGATGCGAAATGAATTGGATAAAAAGCTACAATTGGCACTGGCAATACCAAGTTATTCATCCAAAGACGATAAAACAATAACCATATCCAGTGTTTTGAACAAACAACAGGAATCGTTAAAAAACACAACGCAGGGTTCGAAAACAACGAAAGATCAATCGAAGAAAATCCTAAGAAGTGATTCGAAAAGAAACGAAAAGACACAAACACCGGTCAGCGTGATAAGAAGGACACAATCAACATTGAAACCAAAAGAAAGTCAAACGAACGAAAGTCTGAAAGAAGTTTCGTCTCAAGCCAAGCAGCAACCAATTACATCCAGCGTTGTAAACGAAAAACAATCAACATTGAAACCAGAAAATGATCAAACTACTAAATTTTCCACAAGTGATTCATCGATAGAAAAAAAGCTAGAAAATCTATGTTTAATAGACGAACAACGACAATCAGAAGAAGAGAAACCAAAAACATTATTGACTGCAGCCAAAGAACAACGAACAACAACCAAAAAAACTGAAGTTGTAAAAAAAATAATTGAAAAAACTGATAAAAATGAAAATATTTTACAAATAACCGATTCCGATCAAATATTAAAAGAAACTGATGAAATTTTAAAAATGATAGATAAAAAAATATTATTATTCAATCAAATGGAAAAACAATTAAAAAATGATGAAAAATTATTGAATAAAAAAGAAATTTTTGATATTGATCTTGATTTGAATGAAAAAATTGAATTAAAACAACAAAGAGAAAAAAATTTTGAACAAAGAACAATTATTGCAAAAAGAAAAAAAGAATTAAATGATATGAAAATATTTACATTGGAAATACAAAAACAAACTGTTGAAGAATTGAAACAAAAACAAAAACAAAATATAAATGAATATTCTGTTTTTTATATAAATGATGATCAAATGAAACAGAATGAATATGAAAAAATGAAAGCAAAACAAGATTTATGGTTTGCCAGAAAAAATCAAGAAACAATACTTGAAGATGGTTGTTTATATGATGAAATGGAAATTCGTTTAAATCATAAGGAAAAGTTATTGAATGAATTAGAAAATACAAAACCAAATATTACATTGAATGAAATGAATGAAATAAAAAAACAACGAAAACAGATTATTGATGATAGAAAATTTATTGAAAAAGGAAGAAAAGTATTAGAAGATTTACGAAAAACAATAAATGAAAAAATTAATGAAAATTTACATTTAATAAATAATGAAAAGGAAAAATTATGGAAAGAAAAAATTGGTAATGTTAAAGAGATAAAAATTACTGATAAAAATTTACAAAATATATTTTTCGAAATAAATGATAATGATGGAAAATTAATATTTGCCGATATGATTGAAAACAGAATCGATAGAATTGAAATAAATTTATTTAAAAAAGATGAAAATTTATTTAGAAAAGAATTTGAATTAAGTGAACAGGAATTATATTTTGGTGGATATGAATCGGAAAAAATTAAAATAGATAATGAATGGAAATTATTGTTACAACAAAGAAATAAAAACGAAACAATATGGAAACAATTTAAACAGGCTGAAGATATGATACGATTGATAAGAAAAAATGTTTATGAAAGAAAAAAATTAAATGAAAATGAACAGCTATTGATTGTTAAAGAAAAAGATGAACAAATAAGAAAAAATCTGGCCATTTTAGATGATGAACGAAAAAAATTATATTTACAAGAAAAACAAATTGAATTTAGTAAACAACAACAACAAGAAAAACTTTTAGAATATAAAATTCGTTTGGCAAAAGAAAGAAGAAAATTATTAGAAAAATTACAATCAATAGATATGAATAGACAATACATTTTGCAAGAAAGAAAAAATAGAATCAATAAACAATTAATGAATATTGAACATGATGAAAAACAATTACAAAAACATAATGCCATTTTAAAACAGGCATTGGAATATACAGAAAAAAGAAGATTAAAATTGAATCAATTTATTGTTCAACATGAAAGTAAAATATTTGAACTAACTGAAAGAGAGATTGAAAATTTAAAAGAAGAAAAAGTTAGAATACAAAAATTAAATCAATTGCTTCAAAATAAAAAAAATAGATTTCAAAAAACAAATGAAAGAATAAATATGGAAAAATATGAAATTTTAAATGAACAAAAATATATTGAATATGTTAGGCTAACAAGAGATACTAATAATAATGAAGAAAATGGAAAAGAAAAAATTGTTGAAAAAGAAAAATTGAATGAAATTGAAAAGAAAAAAACTGTAAAGAATGCATTAAAATTGATTAAGGATAAATTTTTGAAACGAAGAAAAAAATCATCAAACGAAACGAAATCAACCAATCTTTCAAAACAAACAATCGTTGATGATCAATCAATACAACAACAATCGACCAACAACCATACAACTGAACCAAATATTGAAATAACCAAATCATTCAATCTGGATTCGTCGTTAACCAAACGTTTACAAAAATCAATAAAACAAACCATTTTATCAACCGCAACAACACAACAACAAATGTCTGGACATCAATTTCTTGATTACACCGAACAATTTTAAAAATTTTATAATAATCAATTTAAATTAAATCAATGAAACAAACAAATAAAAATTACTTTCAATTTCATATGTTCTATGTTTCGAATGATTATAAAAAATTATGAAACAATGTTCGAATTCAATTTTGTTAAAAGCTCGAATTATGAATCCAATAACAATAGTGGAAACAGAACATAAAAACAGGACTGAAATTTTCTTTTTCTGATTTGTAATTTTGGTGAACGAAAATAAAAAAAAATATGAAAACTATTATACGATTGAAAAATAGTCTTTTATTTTGCTATTTCATTCGATTGATTGTTGCTAATAATGTACCGAATCAAAAGATACAAGATGGAATTATGATACCATATAAAACAGTATATGGTGTACCAAGCAAATGTACGGGAACATCGGATCATCAAACGACCGAAGAAAATTATCGAACTTGTCAAATAAATGCCATTGGGAAATGGCAAATAACATTCAAAGATTATGTAAGTTGATTCAATAATTATTCCTCAAGTCAAATCATAATGTTTTTTTTTCTTAAACACAGTACACAGAAAGTTGGAATTTTTGTTGCTTCGCATATGATGTCTTAACATGCGAAACCAAAGTGTTGTATGAATGTGATCCAGACTATTCCGACCGAAATGACAAAGAAACAAGACGATTGTTTGATAAATCATGTCAACCAATCATGGCAAACAAACCTTGTAGCAAGAGTAAAGATGGAGGTGATGATTGGATATGGAAAGGATTAGGAATTGCTGCAGGAGTCGGACTATTCTTGTATATGTTATACTCATGTATTCAATTTTGGCGAAAGGAGTATAACACAGAATTCATTGCAAAAGAAGCTTACAAAGCAGAGAAATTTCGACAAAAATANTCAAGATAAACAATATTTCACGAATGCTCCTAAACAAACAAGTGAGAATGGAGAAGCACAACTAATCAAAAAGAAAGAAAATGTGAAAATACCGCAAAAAGATTTGAAAAAAATCAAAAATAAAGTCCATTCACAAATCGAGGCAGATTCGAAAAATGATCCGAGTTTCTGGGATGATTTCAATAAAGATTCAGCAAAATATTACGTACAACCAACCGGTGTGAAGGCGAAAGCTAAAAAATATTTCAAAAGGTTATGGCCTTTTTCGAAAGGGAATAGTGAAGAACAACTGAAAAGAGAAGAACTGATCCGATCGGAAGCTCGTCGACAGTATGAAAATATCCGAAAAAATCGATTAGAATTGGACAAAATATCAACAGGGCATGAAAGTTCGATTGAAGAAATAAAGGACGATCCTCTTTTGGCAAAAATGCTCAGGACTTTGAATCAAGAACATGTTGATATTTATCGTGAAACGATAAAAACTACAGACTTTCCGGAATCCGGAACAATGGATCAAATGGAAGAATGGACGAAAAATTTCAAAAATACCAGGGTAAAGCTGCGAAATGAATTGGATGAAAAGATACAATTGGCACTGGCAATACCAAGTTATTCATCCAAAGACGATAAAACAA